ACACAAACTACCCATACACAACACGCACTACCCATACACAACACACACTACCCATACACACACACACTACTCATACACAACACACACTACTCATACACAACACACACACTACCCATACACAACACACACTACCCATACACAACACACACTACCCATACACAACACAAACTACCCATACACAACACACACTAGCCCTACACAACACACAAACTACCCATACACAACACACACTACCCATACACAACACACACTACCCATACACAACACACACTACCCATACACAACACACACACTACCCATACACAACACACACACTACTCATACACAACACACACACTACCCATACACAACACACACTACTCATACACAACACACACTACCCATACACAACACACACCACCCATACACAACACACACTACCCATACACAACACACACACTACCCATACACAACACACACACTACCCATACACAACACACACTACCCATACACAACACACACTACCCATACACAACACACACCACCCATACACAACACACACTACCCATACACAACACACACCACCCATACACAACACACACTACCTATACACAACACACACTACCCCTACACAACACGCACTACCCATACACAACACAAACTACCCCTACACAACACACACCACCCATACACAACACACACTACCCATACCTAACACACACACTACCCATACACAACACACACTACCCATACACAACACACACACTACCCATACACAACACACACACTACCCATACACAACACACATTACCCCTACACAACACACACTACCCATACACAACACACACTAGCCCTACACAACACACACTACCCATACACAACACACACTACTCATACACAACACACACACACCACCCATACACAACACACACTACCCATACACAACACACACTACCCATACACAACACAAACTACCCATACACAACACACACACTACTCATACACAATACACACTACCCATACACAACACACACACTACCCATACACAACACACACTACCCATACACAACACACACTACCCATACACAACACACACTACTCATACACAACACGCGCTACCCATACACAACACAAACTACCCATACACAACACACACCACCCATACACAACACACGCTACCCCTACACAACACACACCACCCATACACAACACACACTACCCATACACAACACACACAATACCCATACACAACACACACTACCCATACACAACACACACACTACCCATACACAACACACACATTACCCATACACAACACACATTACCCCTACACAACACACACTACCCATACACAACACACACTAGCCCTACACAACACACACTACCCATACACAACACACACTACTCATACACAACACACACACCACCCATACACAACACACACTACCCATACACAACACACACTACCCATACACAACACAAACTACCCATACACAACACACACACTACTCATACACAACACACACTACCCATACACAACACACACTACTCATACACAACACACACACTACCCATACACAACACACACTACCCATACACAACACACACTACCCATACACAACACACACTACTCATACACAACACGCACTACCCATACACAACACAAACTACCCATACACAACACACACCACCCATACACAACACACACTACCCCTACACAACAGGCACACTACTCATACACAACACACACTACCCATACACAACACACACACTACCCATACACAACACACACTACTCATACACAACACAAACTACCCATACACAACACACACTACTCATACACAACACACACACTACCCATACACAACACACACTACCCATACACAACACACACACTACTCATACACAACACACACTACCCATACACAACACACACACTACACATACACAACACACACTACCCATACACAACACACACACTACTCATACACAACACACACTAGCCCTACACAACACACACTACCCATACACAACCCACACACTACTCATACACAACACACACACTACTCATACACAACACACACTACCCATACACAACACACACACTACTCATACACAACACACACTAGCCCTACACAACACACACTACCCATACACAACACACACACTACCCATACACAACACACACTACTCATACACAACACACACTACCCATACACAACACACACTACCCATACACAACACACACACTACTCATACACAACACACACTACCCATACACAACACACACACTACTCATACACAACACACACTACTCATACACAACACACACACTACTCATACACAACACACAAACTACCCATACACAACACACACACTACCCATACACAACACACACTACCCATACACAACACAAACTACCCATACACAACACACACTACCCATACACAACACACACTACTCATACACAACACAAACTACCCATACACAACACACACTACCCATACACAACACAAACTACCCATACACAACACACACTACCCATACACAACACACACTACCCATACACAACACACACTACTCATACACAACACACACTACCCATACACAACACACACTACCCATACACAACACACACCACCCATACACAACACACACTACTCATACACAACACACAGTAGCCATACACAACACACACTACCCCTACACAACACGCACAACCTATACACAACACACACTACCCATACACAACACACACACACTACCCCTACACAACACACACTACTCATACACAACACACACTACCCATACACAACACACACACTACTCATACACAACACACACACTACCCATACACAACACACACTACCCATACACAACACACACACTACCCATACACAACACACACTACCCATACACAACACACACCACCCATACACAACACACACTACTCATACACAACACACAGTAGCCATACACAACACACACTACCCCTACACAACACGCACAACCTATACACAACACACACTACCCATACACAACACACACACACTACCCCTACACAACACACACTACTCATACACAACACACACTACCCATACACAACACACACACTACTCATACACAACACACACACTACCCATACACAACACACACTACCCATACACAACACACACACTACCCATACACAACACACACTACCCATACACAACACACACTACCCATACACAACACACACTACCCATACACAACACACACACACAAACTACCCCTACACAACACACACTACTCATACACAACACACACTACCCATACACAACACACACACTACCCATACACAACACACACTACCCCTACACAACACACACTACCCATACACAACACACACTACCCCTACACAACACACACTACCCATACACAACACGCACTACCCATACACAACACACACTACTCATACACAACACACACTACCCATACACAACACACACTACTCATACACAACACACACTACCCATACACAACACACACTACCCATACACAACACACACTACCCATACACAACACACACACAATGCAGAGGCTACGTAACACGGCCCGCCGATCATAAATCAAGAAGCTGACTCGCTCACACACAATACACACACACACAATACACACACAATACACACACACAGCTCACACAATACACACACAGCTCACACACACAATACACACACAATACACACACAAGACACAATACACACAATACACAATACACACACAGCTCACACACACACAATACACACACACAATACACACACAGCTCACACACACAATACACACACAATACACACGCAATACACATACAATACACACAATGCACACACAATACAGACACAGCTCACACACACAATAACACATACAATACACACACAGCTCACACACACAATACACACGCAATACACACACACAATACACACACAATACGCACACACACAATACACACACAGCTCACACACACACACAATACACACACAATATATATAATACACAGAATGCGCGTGAACACGACACGGGCTCGGTTTCGACTATAACACAACGCGCGCGCGTGTGTCGCGTACATAGCACACACGTGTACATGCCCCTTGTATATATTACACACACACACACACGTGTACATCATCACACACGTGTACATGATCCGTGTATATATTACACACACACACGTGTACATCATCACACACGTGTACATGCCTTTTGTATATATATTACACACACACGTGTACATGACCCGTGTATATATTACACACACACACACGTGTACATCATCACACACGTGTACATGACCCGTGTATATATTACACACACATGTGTACATGACCCGTGTATGTATTACACACACACGTGTGTACATCACAAATGACTCGCCTATACATCACCCGCACGTGCGATGCATCACGCCACATGTGTATTAATCACACACACACGTGTACATTCCCCGTGTATGTATTGCACACACACACGTGTACATCATCACACACGTGTACATGCCCCGTGTATGTATTACACACACGTGTACATGCCCCGTGTATATATTACACACACACACGTGTGTGTACATCATTACCCACGTGTGTACATGACCCCTGCATATATCTCTCGCCCGTGTACATCGCAGACGGCTCGCCTATACATCACCTGCGCGCGTATTAATCACACACGAGCGTTGTACATCGTGAGCGTGTACACGACACACACGCGTGAACATCACACACGCGTGAACATCACACACGCGTTAACATCATGAGCGTGTACATCGTGAGCGTGTACATCGTGAACGCCGTGTACGCGACACACACGCGCGTGAACATCGTGAACGTGTACATCGTGAACGACGTGTATGCGACACACACGCGTGCACATCACATGCGCGCGCGTGAACATCACGAGCGTGTTCGCGCGACACACACACACGCGCGCGCGTACACACACACACGTGCACATCACACGCGCGCGCGTGCACATCACGCCGTGGCCCTCACCGTCCTCCGTGGGCACGTAGATGTTGAGGTAGAGGCAGTCCTCGTTCATTTCGTGCATGTACGGCGCCACCACGTCCATGTTGGCCGTGAACCACACGGGCAGCATCACCTCGGGGAGCACCCCGCGAATCATCTGCGGGCACACGGGCGCGAAGTGCGTCGCGTTGCGCACTCCCTGCCACGCCGCGGGGGGCTCTGGGGGCTGGAAGCGGCGCTCGGCGACGGGGGGCGCCGCGTACGGCACCCCCAGGAACTGATCCACGGGCCCCAGGATCTCGTTGTTGAGGACGATGCGAACGCCGCGCAGCTTGCCGAAGTTGGTGGTGATGGTCGGGTACGTGGACTGTCCGGCGGCGGGGGCGGCCGCGAGCAGCCCCAGCAGCAGCCCCAGCAGCAGCGACGGTGGTGGCAGCCGAGGAGGAGGAGGAGGAGACCCCGTGGGGTCCCGAGACCCCCCCCTGCGGCGCGGCGCCTCTCTCCGCGACTCCGCGCCGCGCATCTTTGCTTCGGTGAATGCTTCTCCCTCACTCCGGCAGGAAGCCGACGGCGGTGGCTAGAGATGAGCTACGGAGCGGCGGCGGCGGCGGCTGCTGCTGCTGCTGCCGCTGCCCGCGGAGGCGCGCTGGGAGGGAGCAGAGAGCTCGCCGACTGCAGGGAGCCGCTCAGCACTGCGCGCCCCGGCTCCACGCCCGCGTCGCGTCAGATTCGAGCGCGCGCGGCGCAGCCTTCGGCGAACAGCGCCGCGCGTTACCGCGCCCGCGTGACGTCACGGCCCGCTCCCTCCAGCTCGCTCACTCGCGGCGCATTATCATCACCCTTGAACATCGTCGCCATCATCATCGTCGTCGTCATCTACATCATCACCATCAGCCGCAGCATCGCCGGCATAGCGCGCGAAGCCGCCTCCACTCGCTTCGCTCGGATCCCGACAGCGATGCGCGAATCCGAACTGCCCGCACTCTCTCCTCCTCTCTTCTCCTCGTTGATCCTCCTCCTCCTCTTCACGGTCTTATTCCTCTTCGTGGTCGCGATCCCCTCTTCTTCCTTCTCGCGATCCTAGCCCTCGTCTCTTCGCGCAGCCGTCGCCAGTTCGGAGAGCCGCTCTCCCGATCCCTTCAAAGCGCTCTGCGCGCTCCTCTGCGCATTAGCATCTCAAAGGGAGCGAGAGCGGCGCTCCTCACGAGGGAGAACTCGTGAAGAGATGCCCCCTCCTCCTCTCTCCCCTCCCCCCCTCTCCCTCGCCGTCTCTAGCTCTGACAAGGAGGCGCAGCGTCATTGGCTCGGAAGGGGAAGAGACGAGGAGCCGCCTTTTGGAATCCAGTCCCTGCATCTCGCGCGCGGCCTCGGCTGCGTCTCGCGTGCGGGAGCGGAGGGTCCATAGCGGGACCGGTCCCCTGTGCTGGACCCAGGGCCAGGGAGGTCTCCCCGCGTGCGAGGCGTCTCGCGGATCTTCGGCTACGTGGGCCAGGTGTCCCCGGGGTCACAGGTGTCCCCGGGGTCACAGGTGTCCCCGGGGTCACAGGTGTCGAAAAGGCCAAACTCTCACGAGGCGAGCCGGTTTCTTACGAAAACAACCCATCGTTTCGCATGTGAAGAAGCTGCACAGGGCTCAGGGCGGAGGATAGTGGCGGAGTGACGGCCAAGGAATGGAACGCGTCCGAGAGGACGTCCGTCGGAGAGACGGAGCTCGCGTTGCGGATAGATGTTCGATGGATTTTTGACATCGCCAGATTTTGAGAGATTGCGACTGATCGTGGAGGCCTCCGCCGAGCAGCCTGATTGATGATGGCTGGTGATGATGATGATGATGAAGCTCGGGGTCTATTTGTCCTCTGGGCCAAGTGTCTCAAGTTCCAGTTGTCTCCAGGAGTAGGTGACACCGTGGTTCAGGGGACATCGGGACGCAGAGGATGACGAGGAGGAGTCTGCGGATTCTAAACCTCGCGGTTGTGAGTGCAGCCCCTGGGTACGGCCCCGCGGTTACACACGCACAAAGAGTCCCCCGTGCAGCCTCAACAGATCGTTGGGGCGAGTCCTTTTAGCGGCCACCTTTGAGGGCCGACACGGCACACGTGGGTGATTTTTCCAAATCTAAACAGATATTCATTTGAGACTGAGTTCACCTAGGGGTGACCGGGCACTGGTTCAGATAATCGTCACCGGTGTTGGCCGTGAGCGTGATTGCAACACTTCTTGTGTAGCGCAACGCGCTAGCCACTGCGCCCCCGTTCCCCACGCGCGATCACACGCTCGGGCACGCCGCACTCGAGACACAACGTCGATCGCAGTGTCGAGCGGCGCTCATCTTCGCTGGTAGCCTCGAGCGAGTCAGCGATGCATTATTCCACATTCTCAGAGCGGGGGACCAAGTCCACCCATGTGGCCATCATCGATGACCTCCCACAAAGTGGTGCTGTAATTCATGTTGACGGTGAAGATGTTGGTGGTCGATAGGCTGAGTCGACCCCCGACTGAAATGTGAGCTCGAGACGTGCGGACAGAGAACGCGCGCGCGCCACGAGGCGCGCTGCCCCTTACGGACTGGGGAGCGGCGGCCGCGCCGCGCTCTTCTGCAGACGAGGAGCTTGGGGTCGACTCGCGGGCGCGCGGTGTTTGTCTCGGCGCGTCCGTGTGGCTCAATGTTGTTGCAGTGCGGTGTGGGGGTGGGGTGGGGGTCGTGATGTTCATCACGGCCGCGGAGCGCGCGAGACGAGGGCTCCGCGCCGGAGGTTCCGTGCTGTGGTGTCGCCCCCTAGAGTTGGGGCGGCTCGACTCGACGTGGCGCCGCGAGTCGCCGTCGCAACGCCGCCGAGGCGACACCCGCGGCTCGTGGATTTGTCTCCGGGTCCTCCGGTTTTTCCATCCATCAAGGCCGTAGCCATGGAGTCAACATTGGAGGGGTCTGGGGGGGGGGGGTCCCCCAGATAAAAATCTAAATTTGAAAACTAATTTCCTGCCTGAAATATTAATAAAAAATGCACTAACACGTAGGATGGACTTTTTTATTTTTTTACAAGAATGTCTAATAGTATATTGTATTACATTGCTCTGTTTCATTGTATGTAATGGCAGAGATTAGGGATTAATAAAGTACAACCATAACCACAATCATATAAATAGAAATATATGTTATAGCAATATATTGGTGGGAACATTTTGAGCATATTGGGGGGGGGATGTGCCCCCCCCCCCCAATATATAATAATTACGGCCTTGCCATCCATATTTAGAATTAACATCACGCGTTTAGAGTATTTGGCTGCTCTACATTTCCACGTGGTAAGCCACATTGTTGAGCCATCATTTGTAGCCCACTAAGCTACACAGCTCAGTGGGCCTTACCTGATGAAATAAAAGACATAGTTTCATACTGTAGTTTCGTTTACATTCGCTCGCATTTCTTTTGATGGCAAGATGACCGCAGTGCAGTTCTTCAGGATCTGCTGACGGTGTTTCCATAATGCACCGAGGGCCGAGTGGTGTTTCCACGAGTTTATGTGTGCGTTGTTTAAACCTTGCGGTTGTCGGGCCTGCTCTTGTTATTTGCAGATTCGATTGTAGTGTAGTAGTGAGCGATTGATCGCGTCGTTCGTCTCGCATTCATCAGCCACGAAGCCGACTTACGCATCGTGAAACGTGGGTTCATGTTTGTGAAATATTTTCTATTGTTCACGCGACACGGTTGTTATTTTTGTTTTTGCACCGACTTTACATTCGTTTCTTCGCTGTACTTAATTGCATTTGTTCATTTTGCTCTTTCACATTTTTGTGACGCAGGTGACTCTTGCAAACGAGCCTCTGGTCTGTCTCCCTCCCTCTCTCGAATTATCGCGCTGGTTACACAAAATTAAAGCGAACCTCGGAAACCCGCAATTAGCAGCGTCGTCATTGCACGTGGCCGATACGTGGGGTGACATCGACGCGTCACGCACACACACACACATATATCTCGTGTCACCGTGTCATACTTTGCGTGCAGCTTGCGGGGTTCATCGATGCGCACGGAGGCCACGTGGAGGGTCTCTGCTGGGCAGGCACCGTACTCAACAGCTTGCCTCGTGAAATACCTTACACGACTGTATCGTCATCATCATTCCCAAACAACCAAAATTAATAATTATAACAATCACCCCGATCGTTGAATTTGTTTTGTAGATGCCCAGTCTGATGCTGCCAAAGCCATATGTTAATTATCACACAAGGGCAGAGCATGTGCTCTGCCTTCAGAGCGAAATGAATAATTGAGCGGCCGTCGGCGGCGTGAGACGAATGCGCGTGGCATATTTGGCAACGCGTGTCGATGCTGGGCCACAGAGCCACAGCTCGTCCATGACACACACACACGGGCCCAGGGAGATTTCGTCGGACGATCGAGCGACGCGACGCCCGGTGACTGTCACCGAGCGTCGTTTCGCGCGGGGCCGGGGGGAGCGCGATTCGAGGCGCGATCCAAAGGCACAAGTGATGAATCGCCCAGCCGAGGACATCGCGATCGAGGCTAGTTAAGCGTTGACACATTCCCCCGGACGCCAATTACATCCATTCTCAAGGTAACAAACTGAATCCGGACACGAGACGCGTGGATCGCGTTTATCCAACGCGACCCGTAGCACCCGGACGAATCAGAATAAGAAGGAATGTTGCACAATCTCACAGCGCCAAACGACGGCAGACCTCCTGGCATCACCTGCTACAACTGCAACCACCTGCAACAACCACCTGCAGCCACAGTCACCACGCGCACACCCACGCCGCCAGATAGCAACCCGAAACACAGCAACGGCCGAAATTCACTGCGATTGTGCCAGGCTAGGTGCACTTTGCCCTTCCAATAACCGGTTTCGACAGCACAAGTCTCATCTACTGGCATCATATGCTACAGCCACAATCACAACACCCACAGGCACGTGCACAGCCTATGTTGTCGATCCACTTATGGATGAGGGCCTCCCCGCGCCGTCGCGGGTCGTGGGGGACTCTTTGACCATACTTAACCACGCTGGTCACTGCAGGCTTGGCGAATGCGGGCAGCGCAGATGTGAGGCGTGCAAAATGGATTGCACCGCCCTCTGCTGTCCGCCGCGTCGCCCGCCAGCACTATGGCAACCTGTGTGTGCGTGGCAAATCGGCCACGTGTGCACGTGTGTACGCTGGACTTCTTTCGCACCGTGCGTAGCCCACCGTGCTCATCGGAGATGTGCGTGAGATTTGTTTTTCTTAAAGCTATGGCAGCAAACCGAGGAAGCCGGAGGGAACTCACCCCCCCTCCCCCCCCCCCATGCAGAAACGGGAGAAGACATACAAGCTCCACACCGAGGAGTCGCCCGCGTCATGAATAAAACCTCGGTCCTTTGTGGCTGCGAGGAGGCGCTGCGCGTGGCACAACCGCCGCTCAACCCCCGACACATTCCGAAGATCGGGCGGGATTCGTTCACAGCGACCACACCTCGACAACGAATTCAAAAAAGGAAATTAAATTAATTTAGAAATGTCTCCTACCCACCCCCCGCCCAACCCCACGTGTGCACGGGCATTGCTTAAAAATTTAAATGCAAAGCGTTCATCACAAGTGAGTAGGAATGACGGTGCAGCCACACGGACACGGCGCTGCTGCTGCTGCTGCTCGGGTGCTGCGGCGTGGTGCCGAGGCGTCGGCGTTCCCTGCACGCGCATCCGCAGTCATTACTCCACTCCGCACCGGGCGACGCGCCGCGGGCTCCTCGCCTCGCTAATGAAATGCGATCTCACGCGAAAGTCAATCGCGAGTTGCGATACGAGATGCGCAGCCTCTCCACGGCTCCCCGCAGAAAAGAAAGAGGGGGGGGGGGGGGGGTGGCAACAAGAAAGCTGAAAGTGGAAAAATGTGCGGAATGTGTCGTTAAGAGAGACGGGCGCATTGCTTCTGGTACCCGTGGCCCGGCTGACGTTGGCTCGAAACACAAAATTGCGCTCAAATGATTTCTATTCGGAATTCACGGGAGGCACCACCCCCCCCCCCCCCCCCCCCAGTGTGAGAGATCGGTCTCGGGAAGTTGATGTCGCAGAACCGCTGCTGAGAAGATGC